TTTTGTTCTCAGAGATACGGAATTTCATATAATATTAAAATTTTGTTGCTACTAAGTCTCGAATATGTCAGATATCGGTTGTTTTCATCAATTTTTCAGCTATCTTCTTTACACGATTGCCAAAGAGATGGAGAGGGAATTGGCGAATATACCTTCGCTGCAGTTGTAGAGAAAATCATGCAGCAAACGTGCATCAGGGGCATCGTGGTCAACAATCAAATAACAAATGTCTTAAGGAAAAAGATTGGGACCATGTATGCAAAGCTAAAGCGAGCAAAGAGGAAAAGTGGAAGTTTTGGTGTCAAAAGGCTCACTGACAAATGGCGTCACCAAACTTATTTTGTCAAGTTATTTTATCACGAGCTGGATAATTACTTTACTGAAAACGATCGCTAGAAGAATCTTTGAAGAATGGCATTACCAAGCGACAGAAATTTGAGGAAGAGCTCGAAGACACAGAGAGAAACTGCAAGGATCACAAAAAAAGATTCCAACGTGGTGAATTTTCACTCGCTTTGCGACTTTGTCTACGGCTGTCACAACGACAGGATGAAAGTTTGCGGTCGTTGGTTTTTTCTTCTTTTCCTCTTTCTGAATAAAAGCCCCGTTGTAAAGACTCGCCGGAATATCGTTTTGGGACCCTCCTTTCCCTTCCAGGCGCCATTTTTACAGATGTAAATTGTCAATGAGCGATTTATACTCTAATGCGCAAGCGCAGTAAGGAAAGCGTTTTCCGCGCCAGCCTGGATGCCAATTAGAGAAAATATTCGCGCTTATGGGAAATAAGTGTGATATGGATAATATCAACAAAAATAATTACTATGGTCATAATTTTAAACAAAAGAAAATGTGAAGAGTCCGAACTAAAGTAGTGCCAAGATTATTATGCATTAAACTCACCATCTCTTTTTCTAATTGGCCGAAAGCGCACAGTGAATTATTTTCGAAATCAGCGCCTGAGAAGTCATCTAACTGCAGATTATACCATTATCATGTCAAGGACACTCAAGGTCACGGGTAATCATGTCATGTATAACCGCGGTGCATGATTTCTAAGGGTGATCATGTCAAGTTCGCGCTTTGTTGCTTGCTGATTTCTATATTTTTACATGTTTAAAAATGATTGTCAGTTCCACTTACTGTCGAGACTGTTTACTGTCGTGTGACCAAGGTTTCAGTGAGGGTTATTGGCCTCAGCCTTCGGCTTCGGGTGATAACCCCTATCTCGACCCTGATTATTCTGGATATCACAAAAACCTTATCCAATAATTAGAGTCCAAAACAGACCGGAACACGATATTAAAAGTGTTGGTGAGGACCCTTCACCGGAACGCATATTAAAAACTACTCTTCTAAGAATTGAAAGAGAAATGTTAGACCACTGACAAATATGGTTAGACCTGTAGGTTAGCATAGGTAGCTTTCAACCTAAAGAGATAAATCGGGTTTAGAGATCGTAACTCGGTGTAATAACTGAATAAATACTGATAATGATAATGATGCTTATGACCTCGACAATTTTTATCAAAAATGTTCGATCTTGTGGTGTGAGTATCCGGCTGAGGGTACTCCTAAGAAGGATTGTTGTCGGAATAAGTGACTGACTTTTCGACAACAGCAACTATCAACACTATATTCACTCACTGTGTTCAGACAATTTACTGAATGACTTTAACGATGACAATGACAATGACTGAAACAATAACGACGACAACAACGGTTAAAAAAAATATTTGTGGGCCAGATAGTGACAGACAGAGAAAGTGGTAGGAAAGTTACAATGAAGGTGACAGAGACGGTAACAGGTAAGGGTAACGGTGACCTACAGTGACAATGACAAAAAACAATAGCGATGACAGTAGAGATCACGATAAATGAAATAAATGAGCTACTTATGCTAACCCACAGGTCTAACCATCTTTGTCAGTGGTCTAACATTTCTCTTGCGTTGGCAGACAGTGACAAAGACAGTGACAACAACAGAGACGTTGACAGTAACAGAGGCAAAGACAGTGAAAGTGAGTGACTTAAAGGGACAATGAAGTGACACTGTCAATTGCATGGAAAGAGACAATAACAGTAAAAGTGACATTGACAAAGACAAAGTCAGAGACATTGACGAAGACAGTCACAAAGACAGTGACAAACAAAGTAACATTGAAGTGATAAAGCCAGTGACAGTGACAGGGTGAATTGGAGTGAAAGTGAGAGTACCAAAGACAGTTACGATAAAATAACAGTAGCAAGGACAAAGATAAAGAGAGAGACAGTGACACCAATAGTGGCAGTGACAGATACCAAAAGAGAAGTGACGGCGACACTGACGCTGGCACTGAAACTGTCAGTGACAGTGAAATTGGCGTTCAGAGTAACAGTGACATTTAGAGTGAAAGAGACAACGACAGTGACCGAGACAGTAACAGAGACAGTGACAGACAGTGACAACGACAAAGATATTCTTATTAAGCATCTACTGTTGGATTTTGTTTCAAAGGCGCGATGAAAATCACTCTGAGTGCTCCCCAAGCTTCCCACGGGCATTAATAATTTGAAAAACGCACGCCATTAAACAATGTGGCAAAGGGAAAAGCACCCCTATCCTTGCTACTCTATAATGCAGATGAATGGCCCACTTCTTGGAAAATGAGTGAATGAACGCCTGCTTTAGATAAGGGAGATCGACAAGATATAGAAACCTACTGCCTCTTCTCTTCTCTCATAGCTGATGACAAAATATTTGAACAATTAATAAGTAACTGCGTAACATGTCATTTTGACAAACCTTTGCAGTCGTAAAATACTCGTAACAAAGTTCTATATGTGTGCGTCATTTATTATTGACAATGTAATAAACGCCCCTTTTCCCTAACATCATCGTGTTTGATAACGTGATACAGATACGCAGAATAAACGTTTGTCTTTATGACAGTGATATATTTAACAATTCCAGCAGCAATATAATGTTACAAACTTCTACACTTAGCAACAAATCAGCTTGAACTTCTCATTAATCTTCAAAATCATTTCAGCATAAGTTAAGGAAAAATGTTGACAAAACAGTGTACTTTTGTAGTTAAAGCTGACTACCTTTTAATACATTCAAGTATGAGTGAGCTATTTCGTTGATGCCAATATTTACATTTTTCACCATTACCATTTAAAACAATTTTGAGAAAGACGGAAACAAAGAGAAACACGCACAACCATTACTAAGTTCTTTTATCGTTGTTTTAACATGCACAGAACATATTCAACTGCATTACATCAATTTACAGCACTAGACGAGAGAAAGTAAATTAAAAGATTCTTCGTGTCTTCCATCAAATATCATCTGCATTTTTTTTTTGAAGTTATGTTTTTAATGTTCAACTGTTGACTTTTATGTTAAAAGTTTAAAAGCCTTATATAATACTCTAAGCCTCAATAATACTCTTTCTGTTTGATGCAGTATCTTCCACCCCTTGACGGCGACCGATGGCCTTGAGGATCTCGGATTGTTCCTTCATCATGGCGTGTATTTCGTTTATCCAGTGTTTTAGAAATAAAGAAGAAGGTATCATTGAAATGTAAAATGGATTATTGCAGATAGCGTTATTTTAATAAACTGAAATGGAATTTTTGGAATATAACCTAGTTGAACTAAGTAGAGTGCAATTTGGTCTGAAATCATACGCGTGATTACAAAAATCGAACGAGTTTGATCTAAATCCGAAGTATATCCTTATTTCAGACCAAAGTGAATCCCAATCAGCTCAATTGCCACTCTATTACAACCATGAAATCACAAAATGCAAAATTTTATCAAAAGTGTAATCATGAATTTTAAAAATGGTCTGGGGACGTATGTTACAAAATCTTGTACATGTATTTGTATTTGTGTTTGTATTTTCCCCTAATTTGATTGGTTACTCCAACAGGCCTTGAAGTTAATCTGATTGCTTGTTTTGTTTTATTGTTGCTTTCTTAGTAGTTGGGAAAATATGCAAAAAAATGCACGATTCGTGAGTTTAATAATGTGCATGCACAACTTCAGTATGCTCATTGGCTAAGAACACGTCAATTAAATCCCAAGCATTAAAGAGGATTGAAATTGATTGAAGAAAGTTACGAAAGCATAACAAAATAAAATGTCAGAAAGAAGAGGAGAAAGTAACAACCTTTTAATTCAGAGTTTGAGGGAGAATGCTAAGAACAAGAAACACCCAACAAAGCATAAGCGAGTGGCTAAAAGTTTGGAAGTGTTGGGCTATGACAAAAGTATTGGAACAGACTAAGCGGGCGGTCAGATTAAAATTCTTGAGGAGTTTTGCGCAACAGTTCATAAGAAAGACGTGGAAGATTGCGAGCGTTGTAGTCTTAGTGTCAATATTACAGCTTTTAACCGACACCTAACATAGAGAGTGTTCAGACTTCAAACACTCGATTTTTCATAATGAAGAGTTTAAAATCTAGAAGGAAGCTCTTGAGGGAAAAGCTCAACTTCTCCGGCAACAAACCAAAGGCAAGCGGCCTAACCAATGAGCTGTAACACGAAACGAGGAAAAGGAAATCATATTTTTTCTTATTTATTATAAACAAGTAATCACTTCATTTTTCTCGTACAATTTGGGCTAAATCGACACTCATAAATTTTCAAACACTGCAGTATGGTTGGCCTTTAAAAAACTCACCCGTGTTACTCCCAGATTGCACCCGAAATCATGTAATTACATGTGCTAATGGCATTGCTGAGTGCCAATCAGATTGCAAGGAACCAAAGTTATTTCAGAATGGATGTAATGAAGGAGTAAGTTAGTAGCTCAATTAGAAACCAGATAATAGTAGTGCTACGGCATTCATTTGCATTTCCATCAGCTTTAACGAGTTCTGAAATCTCAAATTAAGTAAAAGGGTGGTCTTCCTAAAGCTAAATTCGCCTGTCAATGATTAAAAATAGTTTGGAAAAGCGGGGATAAGCTTGTCAGATGTTTGATTTGTATATTTCCGAAATGAATTTTTTTTCACTTTGCATCTTGCTCCATCATCCTGCCAATAATCTGCGCCATGGCTGGAGGAACGCCGTCGTCCTCTCCTTTACTTTCTGCTTTTCCAAACCCAATGATCTTCTCGTAAAGCTTGAAAAATGAAATCATATTCGGTTAAGTGAATGATGAGTGAATAAATGAATATAGCAATGCATCTTTATCCAACTTGTTCCTTACAATGGACGTTTCATATTCAAAATTTAAAATATCGTCTTTGATTGGCCGAAATGTTAATGTGATGAAGAATAACCAAAATTGAATTTAGTAAATAAACATCAAGCGTGATACAAAAATTCTATAATTTCACAGTCCGACGAGTGCCTTAACATGTTTTTATGCGTAGAATTCCATGATCATAAGCTCTTTTTTAGCCAAGGTACTCTTAAGTTAAAGTTATTTCATATTTTTGAACTGTAGAATGGACTCGACACTTTCCAACTGAACTCGCCCATGGCCCATTACTGACAGACTGATCTTCGTCCATTCCTAAGTCGGCACGCCCGAACATTTGCTGTTGTATAAAACATTTTGAATAGTCTCTAATCATTATTCAGCAATGTCTTACTCTGGTTTGTAGCTTGGATTTTCTGTTTGGAAACTCTTCATATTTACCGATCTGCACGCGTTTTGAAATCCATTGTGGGAGGGATTCCTCGAGCTCCAGAAGCAATTCAACCTGTAAAATTAATGAATTTGACGCTTCACATATTCTCCATTTTTCGTTGGAGCCATGTACGTCGTAGTAAGAATCCGTATTGAAATATCTAGCCTGAATTTGTAAGTTCGCCGAGTGCAGTTCAGTCGACCTGGGTGATAATTTTCAACATCTTTGCTTCTTTAAAATTTTCTACTTTCTCTCGACAAAAACAAAAAGAAATTAAAATAAAAAAGAGCAGAATATTTCAGGCTCATTTAGACAGCAGGTTTAACATGTGCACATTATTTAACAAATAGAGAAGCCTCGACTGTGCTCTGTTCTGTTATAAAGCACGCAGGAAGCGGCTAGAGCACGAAAGAAGTGTAAGGAGAAACACGAGACGTAGTCGAGTGTGTCTCCTCACTTCTTCGAACAGAGCACAGTCAAGGCTTCTCTATTTGTTTTATAATGAAGAATCCATTAAATTCTCCGAGCATTACTTTCAATTTTCAGTGTCGTCAGCATGCTCTATACTCTCATAAGCCAATCAGAATCTCTGTTAGAATGGTTCAAATAATCTGATTGGCTGTACAAGACTAAAGCTGTCAAAAGTGTCAAACCATCAAAGTTCACATTCTACGATAGTTGACAAACTACAATAGTTCGGCAAGTTGAATTTAACACTTTTGCCTGAAGTTTTTAAGTCTCTAATACAGAATCTTGAAGTGAAATGTTCAGTGAACTTCAGGCGAATTATGGCTCATAAAAACACGCGAGTTTTTTCACATGACAAGGTAGAAAACAAATTGTTCAAGGCGAGTGTTTTTTGAATGAACGACAGCCGAATTCACCGGAACACGAAGATCGCTCGGGATGACAGCGCCGTAAAACACGGCTGCAGTGAGTGATGTGACTTTCTACTCAACGTATCGGAAAAGATACCAGAGCAAGCTCTTATTTTTTCACTCGAAGGGCGGCCGATGTAGTTTCTGAGGCTTGCTTTACTGTGATGACCGGAGATCGCCATGATGAACGAGCCGTGATGAACTTCAGCATGATCATATTCGCTCAGACACCGTCATGATTAGTATGAACTTTAACAATTATGCCAGTTTGGTTATATCTTTCATCATTTCTGTTTTGTTCTGTTTTGTTTTTGAACACTGAACTTTATATACTATACGAGTGTTAGCTGTGTTTGATTTTTATTACCGTACGTAAGCTTGCAATCTAACTGAGCGTGAAAATCTTTAAAACTCGAAATGTTTATTTTGTTTTTCCTTTGAGGATTTTCGTATCTGCTCACGTTTTAATAACGTAAATTACGGCGCCTGGCATGTTTACAAACCTTTGTTTGGTTCTTCTGTTGCTACTTGTCGGCTCGCTTCAGTTCCGAAACTTCACTTTCAATTATCGGAAAAAAACTAAAAAGAAGTCCCAGAAAAGGTCAAACACAGTACAATTTGGCAGATGGTGTGACAGCTTTAGCTCAGCTCTATGCTTTCTACTCTCATAGAGCATGCTCTTTCAATCAATGACAGCGCGTGTTATATCCGAACTTTATCATAATCCTAAATGAAAATTCATAGTGATATACCTCAGTTCGGTCTGTGTTTATACGAGTTATTTGTCAATCACGAGCATAATTACAGATTACATTATTATGGATTACATGAAGAACTGTTACCAATTAATCATAGCCATTAAGATTTCCAAAAAATAACAAATATATTTATTTCAGAAAATATCTCTGGTGTAGACAGTTTCTACATTACGAAATTCCTCCATTTTCAGTGAAAATTCCTCAGTTTCGTATGGTTATTGGTATGTTTATTGTAGTCTGTGATTGGCAGATTTAGCCGAGTGGACTCAGTTAAAAAAATAGCAGCTAATGCACTACATTTGAGGAAATTTTAATACTTATGATTAATGGTGGTATTGCCTCTGGCAGGTTTTCTGTCTCTCAGTCTCGTACTTCCTTTAATCCCTAGTTCTGTTTTTGGCAGCCGGCGCAACTTCATTTACAAGAGGATATAACCGCAGCAAAGTATGGACTCAACAGGTGCTAGTCATATTTGGTCTACCTGCATCACATAACGATCCATAAGATAAGATAAGATAAGATAAGATCTTTATTAGAGCTCCAAGAAGGCTTTTCAGTCCTAATTTACACAAATGCATTGGTTATTGTCTACAATAGGAAAACTACCTATCAATCCTAATTTACAAATGAATATTAAATATTATCTACAATAAAAGGGCGTTCAGTCCTAATTTGTGAATATATAACAATCATCGTATAATGATACAATTAACTATTTGAAAAATACAATCGGAAAAGATAATCTTTCAATTTCCTCTTAAACATTGCTAGGTTATTACAATCAGTGATGGCAGTCGGCAATGAGTTCCACATAGTTACTGATCGGCACAGAAAAGATTGCTGCCTAGCATCAGATTTGTATCCCGAAATATCTAATTTGTTCTCATTTCTAGTATTTCGATCGTGTACAGTAGCCCTAGTGACAAAGCGGGAACAGAGATATGTAGGCGCTAGTCCATTAACACATTTAAACGTGAGAATGCCAACAGTATATTTCAACATACTACTAACAGGAAGCCAATTTAAGTCCCTCGGGACAGGTGTTATGTGTTGGAATTTTCTCGAGCCTGTGACAACTCTTGCAGCAAAATTCTGGACACTTTGCAGTTTGGAGACGTTCTTCTTTGATGTACTGGACCATACAGGAGAACAATAAAACAATCGACTAAATATCAAAGCGTGGATAACATTCTTCAAAGACTTTGAGTCAAAAAGATGTTCAATTCTGTTAATCTGGCATAGGCTAACAAAACAATATGAGAGTGTTCGTAATATGTTCGTCAAAGCTTAGCGTTGCGTCCATTTCTATACATTTCTATTTCGAGATCCCTCGCTGAGTTGGATGGAGTAACTTCTTTGCCTGGTAAAGTGACATGAAAATCTTTAAGGAGTCTTAGCAGCATCTGGCGATTTCCCATCACTAAGAGTTTAATCTTATCAGGGTTGATGAGGAGACCATTATAAGAGCACCACGTAGCGATCTTAGCCAGGTCTTCGTTTATCAGCTGCACCACTGCGGTAGCATCCTTGACAGGAAACGACAAGTACAGCTTTGAGTCGTCAACAAATGATTCCAATGAGCCACTTTCCGAGATGGTAGGTAAATCATGTATGTATAGGTTAAAGAGGGCCGGTCCCAGTATCGAGCCTTGTGTAACTCCATGAGTGATCGGGCCGAGGTTCGAGGTCTCAGAACCAATCCTGACGTACTGTTGGCGCCTGGTCAGATAACATCTAAACCGTTCTAATGCAGTACGACCAATTCCAAGAGCCTGCAGTTTGGAGAGAAGTCTGAAATGGTCAATACTGTCAAAGGCTTTTGAAAAATCCATTAGGACCACAAGGATCAATTTCTTCGAATCCATTGCTTCTAGTACCTTATCCGTTGTCATAACGTTTAGTGTTTCGCATGAGTGTAATTTTTTATTGCCACTTTGATGTTCAGTGAGGCGCCTGTGGTTATTCATGTAGGTGGCCAGCTGGTTCAGAGCAACTCGTTCGCACACTTTAGATGCTACAGGCAAAAGCGAGACTGGGCGATTATTATTAGCAATCTCGTGGTCCCCTTCTTTCAATAATGGAACGACCTCAGATTTTTTCCAGACTGACGGGAAGACTGAGGTCAATAACGAACGGTTAACAATAACTGTAAGAATTGGAAGAATACATGGAAGAGCTTCCTTACAGACGTTGACACTTTATCGTGACCCGGGGCTTTGTTTGACAGTAAAGACCTCATAATCTTCTGAATCTCCCTACTAGACACTGGATGAAAACAAAACTTGTCCACTTCTGAGATTTCATTATCTGGAACAACGGCCAATAGAGGGACCAGATTGTGGACGTTCAACAGGGACCTGGAAGCCTTGGAGGCCCTAGCACCCACAGAAGTGAAGAATTGATTGAACTCGTCTGCAACCTCCTTCAAGTCTCTCGTGTATACTTGCTGAGTTGTTTCCCTGCGAGGAATACAACTTCTAATAACCTTCCACTTTTTTAATAGGGGCGTGACTTTCAAGCACATTGAGAAAATTTGTGTTGAAGTGATCAACAAGGGCGGTCTCATGCAAGGACACTTGTTTGAGATCCTCGAAAAATTTATTTCGATCGTAATTCTTGTAGGATCTTATATTCTCAGAGCCAGAGGGAGACTTAGGCAACTTGAGTTCCAAAGAAGTAGACACTAGAAAGTGATCGCTGATGTGAGATACGACCACTCCACTAACTAACACTATATTGTTGGTGGAGGTCATGATCACATCAATAAGAGTTGACGAATTTTCAGTCACCCGTGTCGGCTCTTTAATCAACTGAGTTAAATTAACGCTGTTGAACAAATCAAGGAGGGCATTAGCTTCAGGAGAACATGGTTTCAACATGTCGCAATTTAAGTCATCACCAACAGTATATCTTTCCCAAAGGTAAGCGCTTGAGTATATTTGTCCATGAAGTTGTTAACAAAACAAGGTAAAGGACAATAATCAGATCTATACGCCACACAAAGTAACATAGACCTCAGTTTCTTCAGTTGAATCTGCATCCATAACTGATGAAATCCTGACTCCGAAATCTCAGACATGTCCTTTAACCGTTTAACTTTGAGCGATGAGCGAGTATATACGCACACTCCGCCTCCACTCTTTCCTAGTCGGTCCAATCTAGTTAATTTATATCCGTCAATTTCAACTTCGGCGTTCGTCACAGTCGAGTTGAGCCAGGACTCAGAAACAGCCAAGACATCATAATCCTTCTCCCGCATTAACTCCCGCACTTGCAGCAAATGGCTTCTTGTTTTCAATGATCTTACATTAAGATTTGCAATTTTAAGTTTAGACTTCGGGAGATTAGAAGTTTTGCGCTGATGTTCTGTTGTTGTTGTTGTCGCGGTCATGGCTTCAGAGGTGTCAATGTGAATATTTAATAAGTTCGAACGAGTCGATCCTTTTTGAATTGAGTTTGACGCTCCATCACTGCTAGCAATAAAATTCACTGTAGCAATGGACCTTCGGTTTCTGACATGGTTTCCGCCTCACTGTCCTCTTGTGCTAGCTAGCAAATTATGAGAAGCAAGCTTCTCCCAAACTTCGGTCGATACTGGTCGAACAACTGATCCATGAAGCGGCGCTGAGAGCTTCTTGAAGGTCTTGTACCAGTTACGCAGTGAAATGAGAGTGTTCCTGGAGTAAACTAGCATATTTAAGACTTAGAACAATATGACTTCTAACTGAAAGGAAAAGAAATACTAAGAAACACTAAGAAACGCAAGGAACGCTAAAAGTTACGGAACCTAAAATCATGCAGCCACACGCTGGCGCAATTTTACAAATATCCAGATATTTCCATAACAGATTTTTGTTGAATCTTGTCAATATCCCCAACAGCTAAACCGATCTGATGTAAAAGAAGGAAAAGCATATAATTATAATTATTAGTTTAAACTACCAAGGTAAGTAAAAGTGTCTTTATAGAATTAAAGATACGGTTCGTCACCTGTCTATATCTCGCGTATTTGGGGCGAAACAACCCTTCAATTTTTTTCGCCCTGTTAAAGGCACTGAAATTTCTCACTCATGCAAAGGATAGGAATTTTATCCCCTTTCAATTAAGCTGAAGAATCAAAACATACCAGCATGTTCATGAGTATGATGGGCATCGCCAGGGAGAAAAACACGAACATGACATTAGAAGCCAGAGGGTAATGCAGTTTTATGTTGGGCATGAAGTCTGATTCGTAGTTCAACTCTCCCAAAGTCATCGCAAAGGTTTTCATCAAAGCGTATTCCAATGTGTCAAAGTTTTACTGAACATGATAAAATGAAACAAAAATTAACAAGGTTTACTCCGAACTGTCATCTCTCTTGTAGACCATCCAGATCAGTAATCCTTAGGTATTCATAAATGTACTCTGTTCTTCCTAAAAACATTGATCGCTGGCAGGTTTCATCTAACTTTAATCTACTCACACCGATACTTTATTACGTTTATGCTACTTTCCTGGGTCTAATTGTATATTTCTCCATCAATAAGTTGATTTAAAGTCTTCACAGACCGTTGGAAACCTTTTGTTTCAAACCCTCTTTGTCAATTTGTGGAAGTTAGTTTAGTGGATGTTTATTCTAGTTTACAGAGACAACTGAAAGAGAGAAATTGGGCTCACAGAACCTGAAAAACACCTACCTTAAGGACAGCTTTTATTGTTGGCTGACTTTTACTCATTTCTTTAATTCGATTCAATTTTAACTGATAACTTATATACGTATTCACTCAGTCTTAGGCCACTAGTGCTAACGTCCCAAGGTCGATCTCCTGAGGATGTCATTAACACAGTATTTACTTTGACTTTACATCAACAAGTGGAAGGACAAAGACGACACTGACCACAAGAGTAACAAAGAACTTGACCTCTGAACTTCGAATGGAAAATTATTAAAAATTGAAATATATTTTTAGAAGACATATCTTTTTAATCAGTCCAAATGAATATTTGGTCAATTATTACGTTCAATGTTAGCTGGAGTAATTAAAGTATCCTGTTATTTACCATTTGATGTTCATAAGCACATAGCATACTGGATAAGTCAAGCAATTCTCTCGCCGTCTTTCTGTCATAGTCTACATTCAGGAAGAGAGAGAAATATTACTCACTTGATGCAAAATTGCTTTGAGCTCTGTTGTAATATTTTCTCACAAACAAAAGCTCAGGTAAGTACGTAGCTAAGTGAGTGTAGTGAGTTACGAGACCTCGCAAAAGCTCTGAGTTGGATTTAAACCCAACTCTACGTGTTAACTATTTATGAGACAAATGCGACTTGAGGTTTAACGATCTTGACGATTGATACAGTTTTCTGATCCGTAGCTTACATGCTTGACTTCAGACCATCCAGATTATCAGAATGTCATTTGTTAATTGGCGTAAATGTGTACAAGAAAGGTAATTCTTCCTCGCATCTAGAAACAACATGTTTAGTGGTAATTAACAAGACTTTACTCAGATGTTCACCTTTAGGGCATCTAACGAATGCTCCAACGAACTTGTAAAACTGTTTTGCTTTCCTTAAGTTAGGCGTAGATCATATGTTACCTGAGTAGATATTTTCATAAATCGCTGAATAAAATAAAACTGAAACGGTTTGAATTAATAAAAGCGTTGAGTAAGGAATGGATAAAAATGAAATTACATATAAACCCTTGTGTGCTCTGCTACAAATATGCAAGAGATTGATATTACGGGTGGACTTTGACCTGGAACCTCCATAATCATTTTTTTTTGCCTACATTCTTCCTTCTCACCATTCTTATCTTGTAATTACTTCTCCTCTTCCTGATTTTGCTATGTTTGATCTTGAATACCAAAGTCTTATGGCTGTGACCAACCGAAAATCTAAAATAGACGTCGTAAGGCATTAAAGGAAATTGTCTTCAGATCCAGATTACTAGAATTCTTTTCTTGAGTGATTCATGGTAAAAGTTTTAATGATGATAGGATGATAGTGTTAAAAACTTTAACCAGTTGAGCAAGGAGAAGCCAGAACACAAATATGACGTAGCGAGGAAGAGCAACAGGAGATACAAATGTCGAATAAATTAATTTAGGGCCAATACTTACTGTCCAGGATTTGTCATTGCCTTAAAAGTCAAATTCTTGAACTGAACAATATCCACCCTCTATCTCTAAAGGATTCTCAAAAGATCCAGGTCTGTACCTGTCACAATTGCATTCGCTCCATCAGCAATCCAAAAATAATGAACAGCCAGAGGAACTCACACCATTAAAATTAACTTTCAATACCTGTAAATGTTTATACCACTGCACCCAGTAATAACTAACTTTTTCTCTTTACTACATAATCCAGTTTTAATTTTTATCTTCTTTCCAACAAACTTTTGCTACAATATTAATTTGCTTTCAACTTTTTAACAGCACTTTTTTTTTAATACTGTAGTTCATTAAACTTAAATAACCTCAGGGTATGATCAAGGAGAGCGCAGGGGTACCTATTCAAGGGGAAGAGGGCGCCGTTAATCTAATTTTGTGATTGAAAGGGTGCACTTGTCAACCCCAAAAACTCATTTCAGAAAACCATCTTAAGGAGGAGTGCTTTTTTGAGCATGTATTGGAATGTGAATATGAGAAATTCTTCATATTCCTGATTTTTTTTCTTCTCTACCAAATGGCCACCTGAGCCCTCAGTCAGTATTTCATATCTGTCACTTACATCTTTGTAACACAGGTTAGAATTCTTCTCCACATTGTAGGCCAAGAAGTTTGTGGGTGTTCCAACAAGAAGTGTGTTACATCCAGTGGTGCTCTGGGGCCAGCCACAACAGCAGAAACTTGTTGGTTGATGTTTAAAATGCTAATGCCACTGTCATGACCAGCAATTCCTCAGAACTTGTACCATGACATCAGACCATGACCTCGGACGGTGTGAATTACACAATTACTCGCGTTGCTTCCTGTTTTAAGACGAGGTTATGATTTCTCTGTTTCAGTTAGTAATTACCAATTATCCAACCTGGATCAACCAGACAAAAAAAAATATATTTTGGTGATGAAAAAAAGTTATCTAAGCAAACATCACCAACCCTTCCAGCGGTTGTGCCTGCTGTAAGACAAGGATGTCTTGCATCGCTGTTCGAGGATGAATCTTATAGCCCAGTTTGAGGGTAAAAATAGGAATAAACATGGCAAAAGAAACCTTAGTTATACAGAAGAAAGGAGATCTAGCCCCAAATAGCTGGGTGGAATAGAGGTGTTGAGTTCAATTTGGCAACACACAACACTACCCGGTCTTATGTAAAAGCTCGATCGAGGAAGCTACATAAAAGATAATTCTAAAAGGTGCGCCTTTCTTTAATCTAAGTTGATAAGTTTGAATGGTTAGCTCTTTCCGCTTGCCTTTTTTTGACCGGATTAAACAAGTGATTTTAGTCTGAGTTCATAAATTAAACATGAACTCAGTACACAAACTCAGAACATAAACTCAGACCATTAGCGCATACCATGAACGCACACAATTTTTATAATTGAAGAACACATAGCTCATGTTACAAGACATGTGAACATATATGCTTGACTGTTTTCGGAACCTACTTGAGATCTGTTATCCCTCTATGAAATGTCCCGCACATAATTTCTTGATGCGGACCAAGCTCAAAGTTTATCAAACTTAATTCCAATGCTCCCCTCCCCTTAAACCAAAAATTTTTCCATTATAGAGATAAATACTGTTTACCATGGACTTAGCTTTGCTTTGCTTTAACAATCCATTCCTCCAAAGTAACTCTTCGTCCTCATCAGATACTGCTTCTTTCTCCGTACCGCAACAACACGTGTCCAGCCTTTCATCTCAGTGTTCAGTACGCAGCAAAATATTTGGAACCTTTAAAATATAATGAAACATTTTTATTTAAAAAGTCAAAGTCTTAGACACTCGTCACCTCTTCAAGTATATCACTAACGCAACTTTTGAATGAGGGAGATTCTAAAGTGGGTAAAACACTTACTTAACAATCAATTTAAAATAATCCTAAAAATGCGAGAAAATGTGGCGTATTAATAATCGAATGAAGTATATGCTATTTGCCAGCCGGGAGGTCCGTATTGGGAAAAACTGTGCCCGAGGTCTTGAGGTCTCCCAAGACAGAGGCACAGTTTTCCCAATAGGGACTGGCCTAGGCTGGTGAATAACATTTTTATTTTTCCCTTAAACTTAACGAAATTCTTAATGATTAAAAGCTGTAATTACGGCAAGATCTTCCATAAACTGAACAATTTTTCAGGGGAGTAAATGATAGTTTAAATAGAGGTAACGCAAATTAAAGAAAGAGGCTACACCGAAACCTTTTTTAATTGCGTAACAATTAAGGTGATTTAAAAAGGCTTTCAAACAACTACTTTGTCAATGAAATCCCACACAAGTACGCATTGTGGACCTATTTTTAAACAAAGGATAACCAGTATGTCTAAGAATCAGTGTGGACTCCCACTCTAAATATCCGAACGACTCTTACTTCATACATCCTCTATAGGAGGTAATACGGTCACCAAAACTGACTAGAAACTTATATGATATTTTACCTGTTCTAGAAAGCAATTTTAAAATTGAGATGAAGATGAAAAACAGGTTTAGGAGCTCGAGATTGACGCTATGTTCAATATTAGCGATACATAGTTGGTGAGTGTAGCAAAGTGTGGGGGATTACTGACAGCGACGAAAATTAAAAATTGCTTCCTTTGGTTATCTGGTTTTCACTACAAAAGGTATCGCTTGTGCGAGAAATATTTTTCATTTCTAGTGAAACCTATTTTATTTCTGTTCTTCAGTTTGTCTCACTCATAGTGTGCTAGCCTTTTTTCTCAGTACATTTATTGTTAGGTACAAATAAAAAGAAGCACTATGTCTTTGAGTCGACTTATTCTACACCATAAAGGGCTAAAAATTGGAAAGGGAGAAGTATGCTAAATCTCAATTATTCACCTTTGCGTATCACTTACAATATATGCTTCCCTGGGACAAAGAACTTCTTTGCCTGTGGAGGATATTATTCATTTGCTGCCTTTTTGCCTCAAAACCACGCAATTTACATCTAAAGGCACATACTATCAACAAAGTTTTTGGTACAGCGATGGGTTCGCCCGTCTCTGTTGTCATTGCTAACATGGTAATGGAAGACGTGGAACAAAGGGCCTTAGCCACTTCACCGGTTAAACCCTTTTTCTGGAAACGATATGTCGATGATGTTATTTTTGCGGTATCCGGAAATGAAGCGGAGCGCCTCTTATCGCATTTGAATTCAGTAGAGCCGTCGATCCAATTCACCCTTGAGCGTGAAAAGGATAGACATTTGCCCTTTCTTGATTTAAATGTGTCCAGAGGGATTCAGGGTAATGTAGAGACAAGTGTCTACCGTAAACCTACCCACACCTACAAATACCTCGCTTTCGATTCTCACCACCCTATTTGCCATAAAAAGTCTGTAGCCAAAACTTTATTATATGTTTCCAATGTCCTAAAGGCAAATGGCTATACAAAAACTTTTCTCCGTAACTACCAAAAACCAGTTACAAATAGTAAGGCTCTTGATGAAAGGGAACCAGCCACTGGTTTTGCTGTTATTCCTTACATACAGGGTGTCACGGAACCCATCAAGAGAAATTTGAATAGCCACAACGTTAAAGTTGCTCAAAAACCTTTTCAGACTTTGGGGCATATTTTCGCCAAACCTAAGGATCCTATCACGAAAGAACAACGAACCGACACCATTTATTCTATTCCTTGCAATAACTGTGACAACGAATACATCGGACAGACTAAACGTCAATTTGGTACACGGTTGAGAAAGCACCAAAAAGCGGTTTTTCTTCGCAGAAAGGAAAATTCAGCTTTATCGGAGCATACATGCCTAATCAACCATACAATTGGGTGGGATAATTCTAAAATTATCACCACTAATCGGTGTTACCACAAGCGCCTTTGTTTGGAGGCTTGGCATATTAACTCCGCCCACGCTCCTTTAAATCGTGACGATGGCGGTTTGCTTCCTGACGCCTATTTACACCTCGTCAGAAAAAAGGCCGCTAACTTGCGGGTCATAGCCGTAAGACAACTCGACCCCGAACAAGCAGATACTGTCAGAAGAGCTGTTAACGGTATCCTTCAACAGGCGGAACCACCAGAGCCTAACATCACGAAGGAGATGCGAGATGCTCTTAAAAACCTGAAAGAAGACGAGTCCAGCATGGTCCTCCCAACGGACAATATCATGGATACCGACACCTACCGTGCCAAGATGTTTACGCTTATTGAGAACGGACCCTACCAGCTCCTCAACAAAGATCCGACAGACCGTCTGACCCGCAAGTTGTCCGAAAAGCTGCTCACCTTGAAGCGAAGTGGATATCTATCTGAGGCCGTTTACAACAAGATCCGACCCCGACACAAACAGCCGCCTAGAATCTACGGTTTACCGAAGATCCATAAGGCCGACGTACCGCTAAGACCTATCGTGTCGATATTGATCCCAGAAATTTATATTCCAAATCCGTACCCTTAATACAGTACAACTTAGTATAATTTTTACTGTTAAAATAATTGGATTAATGCCATTTTTAACCCTGATCACTCTCATTTGCACAACCGAACTACTGGCTGAACAGTTTTTTAACTAAATGAAAAATTGCGTTTTTAAACCTTTTCTTTTGTTTTAAGTCCTAAAAAAATAGGGGTCACGAGGCGTTTTCTATGTATTTCAGATTTTTAAATTAGTCATCATATCTCGTTCTAGCACACCTAACACCTCCAATGATACTAAAACACTATTCTTTCATTTTCTGAAGTTTTTCATGGAAACATATCGTCCACTACGTTTTCCTTTTTCCGGTTTTGAAGCGGAAAAAGTCATGATTGAGCCAATTTGACTCGTAGAATGTAGGGATAAATATCCCTTCCATAGGCACATGGATTGCTATAAATGTAGGAAATGTTGGTCGTGCGTAAACACCTTTGCATATGATTTATCCGCTTACTTAGCCAACATCCTGTCTCCTTTAACAGGAAAGTCAGAGTACACGGTGACCAATTCAGCCCACTTCGCATCCACCGTCAGCAATGAGACGATCTTAGACAACGAGATCATGGTATCCTTCGACGTAGAATCGCTGTTTACCAACGATCCTATCGACACCGCTGTACAAGCCGCACTGCAGAAACTCGAGAACGACCCAGGCCTTGCAGACCGCACCACGCTAACGCCTGCACAGATCGCTGACCTTTTGACCTTCGTATTGAGATCCACATACTTTTAGTATAACGGATCGATTTACGAGCAAAAAGACGGCGCCGCCATGGGGAGTCCGGTTTCCGCTGTCATTGCCAACCTCTGCATGGAGAATTTCGAAGAACAGGCGATAACTACATCATCCTACGAGCCTAGGATCTGGAAACGCTACGTGGACGATACCTTTACCATCCTGGATCGCGAAAACGTGGATGACTTCTCACAGCATCTAAACAACCAGCAGCCCTCCATCCACTTCACCATGGAGACAGAGAAAGACAACAAACTCGCCTTCCTGGACACCGCAGTTTTAAGAGAACCTGACGGCTGCCTCTCCACCAGCGTATACAGGAAGCCCACGCACACCGATCAATACCTAGCGTAAGATTCACACCACCCTCAATCAGTAAAACGCGGTATTGTTAAGTCCCTTTACGAGCGCGCCAAACGTCTCGTAACAAAACCCTCTGTCATCTCCGAGGAGAAAAAACATCTGTCATCTGTTCTGGTTTCTAATGGTTATCCTTTTTCTTTCTTCCAGAAACTTACCAAGACCGGAAAACCAAATAACAGTGCCGAACCCGCCAACAAGTTCAAAGCTACTGCAGTTTTACCTTATGTCAAAGGTCTGTCCGAACAGCTTCGCCGTTGCCTACAACAATAAGGCATACGCGCTGCTTTCAAGTCTGAGACTACGCGAAGATCTCAGCTAGTGCGACCAAAAGACGCTGTCGACCCGGCTAAACAGGATGGCGTAGGTTACAGGATTCCCTGTGAATGCGGCAAGGTTTATATCGGAGACACTGGAAGACATAAGCAAGAGAGAATTAAGGAGCACGATCGAGACATCCGACTCGCCCGTACCGAGACCTCTGCCGTTTCAGAGCATACCCCCAACACCGGACGCAAGCCATTCTGAAACGAAGTAAAGTTTATTGATCGTGACCCTTATTACTACTCGCGCAGGGTCAAAGAGACAATTGATATAAGACTTCACCCAGACAACATCAACAGGGATAATGAAATAGAAATTCCAGAAGAGTGGATGCCCACGATCAAAAAACACAACAACAGGAGAGCCGTGCGACAGCGGACCGCCGAAGAAGCAAATCAGTGAATGTAACAGCAAGGATCGAAATGCACCAATCAGAGCTGTTGAAAAACAACCAATCACAGCAGAGCATCATGCTTTATAAGATCACGCATGACCAGTCGACCTCATCGCCCGAGGAAGACCAGCAGTATGCAGTCGAAACGTCGCGATCTGCATCACACGTGACTACATCGTGAGACAAACGAAAAACTTAGCTTTTTATTGTTATTCACCACGATGAATAACCACAACCTTTTCCACGAAATTAACCTAAATAAGGTGTTCTTGGAATCGGTCACCTGTCATCGCGACGTGAAAAGTAATGACAAGGACGCATCCAAACCAGTACCTTGACCGTGTTTTTTCAAAGAACAACTACAACGAAGACTTCATCCAACGTAACGCTTACCGACCTACTACTACTTCCGAAAGTAACGACAACGCAACTCACTCTTACGACCACAGAAACTATACTATGCATAAAGGGCATATCTGAGAACATCTCGCGCATCCTACGACCATTCGAAATCCGCGTCGCTCACAAACCTATCACCACACTACGTCAGCTACTGACTATCGTCAAAGATAGAGACGAACCGAGGAACAGACAGGGAGCAGTGTATAAGATCAATTGCTCCGACTGCCATGCCTCCTACATCGGTGAGACTGGCAGAAACCTCACAACTAGACTGACTGAACACAAACGCCTAACCTACAGTACCAACTACTTTCAACGACTGACCCTGGAAAGCTGGTTTACTAACTTGGAACAGTCTCCCCTCAACAGGTGTCAACCACTGCCTGCACCATACAAACGACTCATTCACGATATTAACATTACAAACGAACCGAACAGAACGACCTAACTTCATTAACGGATCGAGACCGATCGATCACGACCGACTTACGCCACTTGAGTCTTACAGCCAATAACATCCCGGCAAAACTGACCAATCAGTTTAGACAAACCGGACTAAGTAAATTCGACTGACAACTTCTATTCACTTGACTCTGATGACAACAGTCCTTCTCAGGACTACACTAACCCAGACGATCAAACGACTCTATTACATTTTACCCCGGGGTTCAAACCATTTACTGTAATATTCGCTTTGTCACTTAAGATCGTTGAATGGTTCCACCACCGAAGCCTAAGTATATTTTAGTATGAAAAATTTGTAGATCACATTTGGTCCAAAATAACCTTAAGAGATACCCGATAGATAGCATGAAGAACATGTTCAAACAGCATTTGACAAAGTAAGAATGTCGCAATAGTCCGAAATAGACCTTGCTTTGACTTCCTGTATTTCCGTCACAGTTTTCCCATTAAGTTCTTGGACAACATTTTCCTATTTTCCTACCCTGAGCAATAACAAATCCTGTTATGAAATCTTAGCTTACTATTTTAAAATCAAGAACAAAAGACGAATATCCGATAAAACACGAGTGAATAGTAACTAACATTTGTCTTTTATGGCAACCAGCTTTCCGTAATATTTCCTAAACCACAAACACTTTTGCTCCTAAAATCTTTGATGAAGTTTCTAAGCTCTACTTCAAGGCTTAGGAAATCCACGTTTTGCATTTTGAAGTATTTTCTTGTTTTAGGAATTCAAGACAGTTATTACGAAGTGAAGGAGAGGGAACCTGCAAACCTTACATTTTGAAACCTGAGACAAGGTGAAAGTTTGGACAATCCAAACGTTCTGCGCAATGGTTGAGTCTGAAACGTGGTTACAAAAACAAGTTATGAAGTTCTCTAAATAGTGCTTTTGTTTCTGCATTTCACAACTTGCAATGAGTCATGGAAATCAGATTTTCAAGACGTCATGATGATTTATATTTTATTGAGGCAAAAGCTACCAAGGCAAGAACATTGGAGTTACAGGCTTCACAGCAAGTTAATTCCACTCAAGTTCGTTTTCTTGCTGAGGAAAGATATGGTGGCTCAGAAAATGGTGGTCATTTACAGACTCCTTCGCGGGATGAATTAAATATTCATTTTGACGCCTCTTGCAGAAGCATTGAAAACAATGCCATTGTTACTGGCCGGCCTTTGTCGTCTGCTGCTGTTAATGATTGTATAGTTAAACCACTAACACTGTGCTCGGTGAATGTTCGGTCGGCGAAATCCAAGTCTGCTGATTTACTGTACTATATTTTTTTATCTGGTGCTGATCTGTTTGCTCTTACTGAGACCTGGCTCAATGCTAATGATACTGTGGCATAACTTGAATTTAACCCGCCTGGCACGCATAAGTCTATGCACCATAATCGATCCGTTCTCAAAAGAGACGGAACGGGTCTGCTCTTCAGAGAGAACATTGAAGTTAAGAAAATTGATGCCGGAGAGAAAACCTCGTTTGAATTGTCGGAATGGAGCCTAAGTTCGAAATCATTCCGGGCTACGCTGTCTATTATTTATCGCCCACCGTGTTCTGCTCAGCATCCAGTGATTCTGAATACTTTTATGGAAGAGTTTGCCACATATCTGGAATCCTTCATATCAGTGCCTGAGCCGTTAATTGTGACTGGGGACTTGAACATCCATGTAAATGATACAAATGATCCCAACGCTTGCGAGTTTCTGGACTTGCCTGTACCTATGGGTTTAAAGCAGCATGTGAAGGGTTCGACACATGAGGGCGGCCACACCCTGGATTTGGTCATCACCAGAAAACATGATGACATCATCAAGAATGCACCAGTCATTGACCGGTTCATATCTGACCATGTTGCAGTACTTTGTTCCTTGAACTCTGTAAAACCGCCAGCTCTTGTGAAGGAGATCAATTATAGACAGCTGAAGGCTATTGACCAGGATGCATTGCGTGTGAATCTCAGGGATTCAGATCTGTGTACCACGGAATTCACAGATGTGGATGAAATGGCCTGCTGCTACAATTCCACTCTCCAGGCCATTCTTGACAAACACGCACCTCTGAAAACTAAGACTGTCGTCAACAGGAAGCAAGTTCCCTGGTTTAACAGTCAGATGAAGGCTGCCATACGGGCTAGACGAAAGACTGAAGTCTAAATCTGCGCATGACCGTAGTGTTTTTAAGGCGAAGAAAAACCATGCAACATTCATCATGAATTAAACCCGTCGTAAATATTATACTAGTCATGTTCAACAAAAAGGCTCTAACCAGAGGAAGCTATTCCAAATTACTAAGGCCTTGTTGTGTGATGCTAAAGATGTTTCTTTCCCTCCGGACAACCCTGACCAGCTTGCCAATGACTTTGGCAACTTCTTTGCCCAGAAGATTGAGAAGATACTTAATAGGTCTCTAGCTGACCTGTCCGCGCAGTCTCACATATAAGTGCAGGCTATTTGATATCGTGGAGCGTCACCTGCCACAAGTCCACTACTATGCAGCTGTACGTTTCCTTCAGCCCACACCAATTTGCGGAAGCGGACGCTGCTATAAATTCTATGACTGACTGCATCAGTGATGCATGAGCTGGATGATATCGGACAATCTAATGCTAAATGACGACAAAACAGAGTTTCTTATACTAGGCACAAAGCAACAGCTAGCCAAAGCTAATATTGACAATATTAAAGTGGGCTCTGCTAATGTGAGTCCTGTTCCGGTAGTTAGGAACCTTGGATCATGGTTCGATTCACAGCTCACTATGTCTAGCCATATCAGTAAGCTTTGTTCTGTTGCATTTTACCACCTGTATAATATTCGACGCATACGCAAATATTTATCTCAAGAAGTTACGGAGACGTTAGTCCATGGTTTCATAACGTCCCGCATCGACTACCACAATAGCCTATTGCATGGACTGCCAAACAGCCAGCCTGCGAAAATTCAGAGAGTTCTGAATGCTTCTGCCAGGCTGGTATGTAATGCGCCTAGATTTTGTCACATTATACCAATAATGTGCGATTTGCACTGGTTGCCTATCAGAGTACGCATCAACTTCAAGGTACTTCTCCTCACGTTTAAGGCGTTACATGGCCTTGTGCCTCAGTATCTACGGTCCTTAATTAGTATAAAGACATCATGCTATAATCTCAGGGGTTCTAATGCTCTACCCCTAGCTATGCCATCAGTGAAACCCAAGGCCACGCTAGGTGATCGGGCATTCGCCGTTGCGGCGCCGTCATTGTAGAACTCTCTGCCTGGTGAGCTTCGCTCAATCACACGTGTTACTAGTTTTAAAACTCATCTTAAGACCCATCTTTTCTTGCATATACTTAATAGAGATTTTATTAGCATATTATTAGCATTTTCTCTTTTTACATAATGTATACTTTAGTTTCTTCAATTCTCTTGTATATAATATATTCTTTAGGAATGCGTATCTGATTATAGTCATGTAAAGACGCGCAGTAGAAATGAATAAATTATTTTTATCATTATTACTAAATAATAAGTTTTGAGGAAGTGGAGACACAAAGTGCTATGAGCTCTCTGGACTTCGAACGGGAGACTTGATTTGTTGTGATTGTGTAATATTAACAAACAGTTTTGCAAGTAGTCTGATTCACGTTGCAAAATTTCTTTCTTATTTAAATTTTAGGGAAGTAGTTTCTCTATTTGCAAATTTCTTGGACAATGTTATCAGATATTCTTTCGATTGAATCCTTATCGGTTAGCCTCAAGAAATGTTTTTGGACAGGTTTGCTGGATAAGTTTATCAACTCGTCGTCCCCCATTCTTTTGGTAATTCCGATTGCAAACACTTCGATTCCTCTGTTTTTCAGTTCATCAGCCCTCAGTTTTACCATTCCAGGTCCGATGAAACTAAATCCATCCGTGACGACAACAGCAACTTTTCTAACATCTGTAAAGAACACAAGACGAAAATAAAGACAAGTCTATTAAAATATTTCTAACCAGAACATTGTTGGCAAAGGTAAAAAAACGTTATTGTAAATTAATTTTTAGGCGAAAGGTTCGTCCAAATCTCTATAGTTCAAGTTCAAATTCAGTAGAAAACTTCTCTCTCCATATCGTCCCTGAGTTGACATAAGCTTAAACTCGCCCTAGTTACTCTGGAGACTCTGCGACAAACATCAGCTTCGCTTGATGGTCACCGAAACCACAAAATAATGACTTCAGTCTTGCACAGTCCTACCAAGGAGGAGTGGAACTCTAACACTTTAAATGAATACATGAGGAGTCTTTATAGTAATGAATACTAATTAATCAGTAAAGAAAATAAAACCTGAAAAAAAAAAAAAATACAGGCCCACACGGGAGTTCAACCTTTATCTTTGCGACACCGGTGCAGTGCACTACCAACTGAGCAGACAAACTAACTGGGAGCTGATTATTTTGTTGGTTTGTAATAAACCTGTGAAGCAATGAATAATCCGCAGTTCACGCCAATGATTTTCGTATATTCATAGTCAATTATTAACATTATATTTTTTATTGTGACGATGACTGAAATCAGTCGTAAACCAAACGTTTGAAAACGTTTCACGATGAATATCCTATAAAACGTAAAGGCCATATATTCATATCTATTGAAATGTAAGCAAATTACGTTATTTATCATGATTTTGTGAACCTTACGAACTTTTGCTTGTTCCGATACATCTTTCAATCTATTTTCTACAAAAGAAAAAGGAAAGCTACATAAACTAGCATTTAAGTATCATAACAGAACGATAATCTTTTTAAAACGGTTCGACCGTCGCTATGACGTTTCATCCTGTTACTTGCCAAAATTGTATTTGTTCTTGTATTAATACTCCTTCCCTATTCTACAGTGCCGTGGGCGAAGTCAAGTCGATTTCTTTATCTTTTCTTTTTTCTATGACCTGCAATGACATGTTATTCCTTAGAAGACTTGCCGGACTCCTTGATTCTTGACCCAGATTCTTGCGCAAACAGATGACTGTTTAGTATTGTTAAGCATCTCGATGTCTGCGTGGAAGATCCTTCAAAGAAGACATTGTTCACTTTCCGCTGAAGCCCTTCTTCCTCCTGGTCGTCTTCGAATGTGGAGTAGATCTTAACCGATTCTGAGTGAGCCACAAGTGCGACACGAACGTTGTCTCTGGAGATTCTGAATCGTCTTAGAAGTGTTTTGGCGAATTTCTTTGCAAGGCTGAAGTTTATACTCGCTGAAACGTCCAAAACGACCGCCAGGTCAATTTTTCGGTCGCATTTCTCTGTTTTTCCTATTCAAAAGTAGAGACATAGTAATTTCAGAAAAACATCAAACAAAATAGTAATTGACAGTTAGAAGTCATTTCTCATTGAGAGGCAAAGCATTATTTAGCAATTACTGCTAAGGCTAAGGTTAATGTCCATGAATGTGTGAAACATGTAAATAAGGATTTTCCACTTTGACTATTTACCATCCTGTATCCAACGCGCACTCGCGAACAGATCAATTCTTAACATTGACATACCTCAGCTTATTCAAAATCCGTGTGAGAAACACTTACTTTAATAAAAAAAATGGCTTCTTCCGGATGAGATTCAAATATTTCAATACAAAAATACTTTGATTGAGTAATTCGGGAAGGAACTAACATTTGCAAAAACGCCGAATTCGTGTAACTATGTTGATGATGCAAGATATATTGATCACAGCAAAGATTTCTAGTCTTTGCAAGAGCATGTATTTGAGTTATTTTCGTTTTCAATCAAACGCGTGGCAAGATGAGGGTGTGATATATATTTACTCACAAGTCTCACAATGAAGAAGGTGCGAGTTTTTTTATTTATGTTTTGAAAAAAAAGCAGGTCTTGCTTAAAAGTAAGTCTCTCTAGTTTTTGAGAGAACATCTATTTTGAGTTATTCTCGTTTTCAATCAAACGCGCGGCAAGACGAGGGTGTGACATTTTTACTTACAAGTCTCACAATGGAGAAGTTGCGAATTTTTTTTGTTTTAAAGTAAATGGTTTGAACCTAGGAGTATCAGTAATTCGTGTAGTGTGATCGTCCGGGTGAGTGTAGTTCTGAAAAGAACTGTTTTTGGTGACTGATATAAAAAGACGTTTCGACTACCTGCGCGGTAGTCATCTTCAGAGTCAAGTGAAGAGTAGTTGTCAGTCGATGATGTTATAAAGTCTGGTCTGTTGAACGTGATTGGTCTGTTTAGCCGTGATGTGATTGGCTGGAAGACTCGTGTAGAGTTTGTTAACAGTCATTGGTCGGTTTGGATCCGTCTGTTGTTAGTCGGTCTGTTTGTCGGTTTGTTCACGTCGTTAATGAGTCGTTTGTAAGGTGCTAGTAATTGTTGACATCTGTTGAGAGGCGTCTGTTCTAAGTTAGTAAACCAGCTTTCCAGAGTCAGTCGCTGAAAATAGTTTGTACTGTAGGTTAAGCATTTAGCAGAGTCCCAGTCGATTCTGTACTAGTCTCACCAATGTAGGAGGCCTGGCAGTCGGAGCATTCGATCTTATAAATCGCTCCCTGTCTGTTTTTGGGTTCGTCTTTGTCTTTAACGTTGGTCAGCAAATGTCGTAAAGTAGTAATAGTCCTGTGAGCTACGCGAATGTTGTAAGGTTGTAAGATCCGCGCGATAGCCTCAGAAGTGCCTTTGATGTAGGGTATAGCAGCTGTAGTCGTGACAGATGTGGAGTCCCTGTTAGTTTCTGTAGTGTCGGTCGCCCTGTGAGTGTTTCGTCTAATTTTTTTGTTTTGTTCTATATTCTCTTTCGGAGAAAAAAAACAGGTCTTGCTTGAACTAACATAGTTTTACGGCAGATTCTAACAGTCTTTATTAAAATTATAAAGCTATGAACAGTTTTCCCAAATATTCCCTTTGCAGAAAGCGAACGTTATGACTCATTGTTTGTTTTCAATCAAGCGAGGCAGCATTTAACGAACCAAGGGGTGTGAATTTTTCGCGTGTCAAGTTTTTGCTGTTTGTGGGAGATTATTCAGTTTTTCGTGCTTACGAAGCGCGAAATTTAAATAAATTCGGATTGAACAGTCGAGTCAAATGGGAGAAATTGACGAGCGTGTGCGACTATTTCCACTCGCCATTGTTTTTTTTAACTCCTTTCGTTGAATTGAAATACGGAAAGGGAATGATACCCGTGAACCTACATGAGTTAACGACGCGCGAGGCTTCGGACGTTATTACCAGGTTTAAATCACACGCTAGAGGAAGGAGAATAGGAACCTTTTTGCGCACATCAGGAACAAAATCTTATTCACGCAGCGCGAAATTTAAATACACGCACATTAAACAATCGAGCAAATGACGATAGTCTTCTATATGATTCAACGGCGCGGTAGGCTTCGGACGTTAATACCAGGTTACACATGCTCTAATTACCTTTGCATCGCGCAGTGAGCCTCTAATTGAAATCGAAAAGTCTTTCGCCAGTTTTAAGCAATATAAAGGAAAAAACAGTGACATCTCTTTACTTCAGATACGAAAGCTACAGTCGCCCCACCATCCACCCCTCCGTGCCTATTTGCATCCTAAAAAATCTACCAGAATCACCCCCACGAGGAGGATTTGTCTTATCGTCAGTTTTGCTGATGGTTTAAATCTGCCGCTCGTGTGATAATCGGAAATTTTGAAAAATCCCGCGTGTATTTTGAAGCTGTTTCCGCCATTGTTCCAAAGTAGCCATAGACGGTCATTGTTAATCATTTAACAAAGCCTGCTGCAATCTAAGCTGATCCGCTTTTCTTGATACGTACATTCAGCAATCCATGTGCCTATGGAGGGGCTATTTATACATGTTGCGAGTCAAATTGGCTCAATCATGACTTTTTTTCTGTTCAAAACCGAAAAAAGGAAAACGTAGTGGACGATATGTTTCTATGAAAAACTTCAGAAAATGAAAGAATAGTATTTTAGTAACATGAGAGGTGAAATTAAGAGATCCTCGCAGCTAAGAACACTACAGAAACGAGTAGTTGAAAATAGGACCTGAAAAAAATTCAGGCTCTACCAACTTAGCTAACAAGCCAACTGGGAGCTGGTCAATGTGTTGGGTCCAAATAAACCATCCAGGTGATGAATGATGATTTTAGATATATGAAATTCATATATTTGCACTGCGGTGAAGAGATGAAATTAAGAGATCCTCGCAGCTAAGAACACTACTGAAAACTACTCGTTCAACTACTCGTTTCAGTAGTGTTCTTAGTTGCGAGGATCTCTTAATTTCATCTCTTCACCGCAGTGCAAATATATGAATTTCATATATCTAAAATCATCAAACAGTAGAGGTGTTTAGTGTGCTAGAACGAGATGTGATGGCTAATTTAAAAAGTCTGAAATACTTAGGAAACGCTTCGTAACCCTAATTTTTTAAGGACTTAAAACAAAAGAAAAGGTTTAGAAACCCAATTTTTCATTTACTTAAAAAACTGTTCCGCCAATAGTTTGGTTATGCAAATTAGAGTGATCAGGGTGAAAATGGCCTTAATCCAATCATTTTAACAATAGTAAATTACATTAAGTTGTTCTGAGTATCGTATTTGGTTTTTATTGTCCGAGAAATAAATATTTTTCCAAGAAGCGAAGCTTTGAGGGAAAGGAAAGGAAATTATCAGTGGAAATGCTAGCCGCCCGATGGGCCTCATTGATTTTATGACCCTTCCAGTAATTTTCAAAGTACTCGTTGACAGCAATTTTTTTTTACCCTTTTGTACTTCTCGGAGCTTTTTAATTTGACAATCACCATCACTATCACTATCAAAGACTTCGTTTTTCTTTTATGTTAGGTAATAGAAATGAAAAAGTAAAACTCTTGAGCTGGTATTTTTCCCGCTGACTTTGTTTCTTTTCGACGGAAATAATCGGAGGACAAATATCCACGTACAATGGGGCTATTGCCGTGATACCTGTCTGGTGATTTTGCACTCCTTGACGAAAAGTAGCCAATAGAATTGCGCCAAAATTATTGGGTGGGTTATAATCCATTATAAACGTAATTTGAGTTCACAAGAGTTTACATGTGTGGGCCTATCACTGCGATCAATTTGAATTTGAATTGAAATGAATTTAGCGAATAGCAATCAAAAGCGGCAGCTTTCAAATTTTCAAAGTCGTGCTTATTCTCCCTTGTTTTTTAGCTGCTAATACGTTGAAGATATCGCTTACCTTAGGCGTACATCAAATCACAATAACAAGTGTAAGAATCATGAAAAACTCATCTTGATTTACAATCAGTCCAATTGAATTATTCTTCCTGTAAATGCGTGACTTTCAAACTTGCGTGACATTTGCGTTACAGTTGGCCTTTGTGCCATTTGATTCCTTTAAATAGTTTTTCTCTCCCGCTTTCATTAATCGCCTGTTCATGTTCGGTGTTCATCTAAAGTTTATTTATAAAGTGTTATTTCAAGCCACCGGCGTATAGGGACTGATATTTTACGAGATTGATTAAAGTTATGTCCCTGTAATATATCCCCTGGATTTGGTTGGCATTTTTCTCCGGTCACGATTTTCTTGGTATTTCATCGAGCCTTGATGTTCGTTTGCCGCAACAGTAAAATATCACCAATTGACGCCATTGGCTGGAATTAAAATTCGTTGAGGATGAGCGATAGTGGTAGTCGATCGCCTCGAGCTACAGTTCGAAAGATTCTCTCATTGGAGAAGGAACAAGCAGAAGTTGAAATTCCGAATGAACCATGCGATTTAAAAGATCTTAGTTTAGACGAAGCCAATAGTCCTCGTGGCAGGAAACACGATCCTCCAAATTTGAGAGAACCGCACGAGCGGACTTTGACTGACAAAGGCAGAGCCTATCAATTGGAAATTCGCGCTTTAAAGAAACAAGAAGTGGAAAACAAATTGCGTAAACATGTAGGAAGAATTTACTCATTGCTCGACTCCCACCCGGGTACCGAAGAATTAGAAAAGGAAAGACAAATCCTGGATGTAATTAAAGAGGAACTTAACCAGGCATACCGATCTTATGACGAGTTACTTGACGATGAAAGCGCCAAAGGTGCCGCTTACCGATATTTCGATTTGTGCGATCGGGAGTTTATCGAATGTCGAGTGCGGCTATCCGAAATCCTTCGGTCAGTCGAACAACGAGAGCATGAAAAATTCGAATCTAATAGGCAAGAAACTGAATCAAGCCGTTCTGGAAGATCAAGGGTTTCAGGTTCTTCAAGATCTTCTAGGTCGTCGGTCATGTCAAAGAGAGTAGAGGCGGCGACCAGAGCAGCGAAGCTAAAGGTCGAAATGAAG